TTAATCTTATAATTTTAAATTTACCTTTTGTGAAAGGAACTGTGAATATAAAGGGAGACCTTAATTTTCCAGATGAGAAGTTCTCCATTCCAGATTTTTTTCCAAGTGGAAAACATGCTTTCGTTATATGGATGGGAGTCAAATGTCCACTTACTAATATTTAATTACACATTTTATATTAAAATCACATTAAATTAATTTTAAAACCTTGCCCTGCCCCCATCTCCCACTATCAGAGTTAATGAAATATTCAAAAAGAAAAATGGATTTGGGCATCTGTGTCTTTCTAAGCATTAGGAACACTTTATGAATCATCTAACATAATTTTCCAGATACAGAACTTTTAGAGTTTGGTGTATATGGTGTTACTGTACACACAAACTGGTAAGAACCAATTTGCATACTGTTAAGATTTTTTTTTTTTTAAGATTTTATTTATTTATTTGTTAGAGAGAGTGAGCGGGAGTACAAGCAGGGGGAGCTGCAGGCAGAGGGAGAAGCAGGCTTCCCGCAGAGCAGGGAGCCCGATGTGAGGCTCGATTCCAGGACCCTGGGATCATGACCTGAGCCGAAGGCAGCTGCTTAACCGACTGAGCCACCCAGGCGTTCCTGTTAAGTTTTTTTTTGCGCTTCATTTGTCCTATAGGAAAAGTTGGGTTATCTCCACAGTGTTACCACTTTACGTCTTAGCTGTTCTGATAGTTAACTTCATATTCCTGAATAAAATGTTTGGAACACTATTCCTTAATTATTTTTGTTGTAGATATTACCTATTAACTTACTACTAGAGATAATAAAGATTCTGTTCAGTAATAACCCCAAACACATATACACTTTCCTTTTTTATCAACCTTCCAACATTATTTTATTACTGTTTCAGTTTTGTTCTGTTTAGGGTAGCTTGGTGACTTTCACCAATTTTGGAAAATTTTCAACCACTATCTTTCAAACATTAGCTCAGACCCTTTCTCTCCTAAAATTACAATTACATAAAGGCTAGATCTTTTTTACTCTGTATATTTTGCTTATGCTCTAAGTCTCTTCAATTCTCTAATCTACTGTTAAATCCATCATTGAATCTTAGCTTCCATTATTGCATTTTTAGTTTTAGAATGTTTTATTGTTTTATGTAATTCCCTGTTTTCTGCCTAAGTCCACCATTTATTTATCCAGTCATTTATTTGTATTAGCATGGATTCATGTGTATTTATTTTATAATTTAGGTTATAATTCAATACTACATTATTTTGTTGCTCAAATTGTTATAGCTTTGGTCATTAGGCGCTCTTTTAGCAACTCCTGTGTCATACCCCATCATTGTGGGATATTTTTTGTTTGTTGAACACCGACTTTGATACTGCATATCTAGGTTCATCCTGTATACTTCCTGTACCAGTCCTACAATGAGCCATTTCTCCATGGTAGAGACGGTTTACTTTTGCTTCAGGCACACAGCTATGCTAAGAACAACTCAATCTTAGAGGGCCAGGAGCTGAAATGATTAGAGGCAGGGCCTCAGTCCTTCTTTTTTTTTTTTT